GTTCTGGGACAGTCAAGGTTGTTACAATCCCTGTCTCAAAAAAACAAAAACATCCCCCCACAAACAACAACAAAAACAAACCTGTACATATTTACGGGGTGATAGTGCTGTCTTTATTCACTGTGTAATAACAGACCATGACAGTGAGCCTGAAATGTGTATTTCTTTGCATCAATTACTTTAGAGTCTACATATTCTGGTGAATCTTTAATAAGTTTTAGTTTAGATTCATAAATGATTTAATTTAAAAGCCGTGAAGAGCTTGCCACGCAAACATGAGTGCCCGACTTTGGTCTCTAGCACCACCTATGGGAAAAACCAACTGTAGAGGCTTGAATCCCAGTGCTGGGAGGGGGCATGTAGACAGGAAGCTCCTGGGACTTGTTAGCATCCAGTCTAGATGAACCAGGAAGCTTCAAGTTCCCTGTCCCAATAAATAAAGTAGAGGGACAGGAGTGGCAGCCTATACTCTATTCCAGCACCCCGGAAGCTGTGGCGGGTGGATCTCTGTAAGTTTGAGGCCACTGTTTTTATATTTTTAAAAAAAAAAAAAATGCTTCAAGATCCCCAGCGGCAGTAGGCAGCAGAAATGCTGTAGGTCCCAAATGGTGGTAGCGGGCCATGTGGTGGCAGACAGTGGGCCCTGGGAGCAGCCAGTCCCAGGCAGAGATGGCTGCTGGTCCCCGAGCAGTGGGTGGTCCCAGGCAGGGAGACACATGGCGGGCGGGCAGGAGACAGAGACGTGGATAGACATGACATGCAGGGCGAGGTTGAATATTTATTCAGGGGGCTATGAAGGGGGAAAGGAGAAGGGGGGGCAGAGAGAGAAGGAGAAAGTGACAGAGAAGGGGGGAAGCGGAGAAATGGGGAGAGAGGCAGAAGCAAAGCTGCCTCTCCGAGAGGAAGATGGGAAAGAGAGCAAGCTTAGGCTGGAAGCTGAAGATCAGCCTGTCTCAGCGGATGGGGGAGGGAGTGGGCGTGGCTTGTCTCTTAAAGAGACAGAAAACCGTACACAACTGTGATCTACAGGGTGAGTTCCAGGACAGCCAGAGCTACACAGAGAAACCCTGTTTCAATTAAAAAAAAAAAAAAAAACTATAAACAAACAAACAAACAAACTTGTTGGGAAAAAGAAAGGGTTAAAATCGCTAGCTAGCTCTCGGGACTCAAAAATGGTGAAGTATTACTAACATACTGGATCTTTCCCTCACAGGATCTGCTAGAGTTAGTTCCTTGCAGTTCAGCCTGGCACTTAAAGGCCTCAGGGTGACCCACAGGGAATGAAGACTGAGGGCCTGAATTAATCCCGTGCCAGCTGTTAGGTTGGGAGCATAGGTCCCAGCACCCAGGCCTGTCGGTGTGTATGTCTGCAGGCCAGAAGGGGGCACACAGACCTCATTACAGATGGTTGTGAGCCACCATGTGGTTGCTGGGAATTGAACTCAGGACCTTTGGAAGAGCAGGCAATGCTCTTAACCACTGAGCCATCTCTCCAGCCCCTTACAGAAATCTTTTAAATTGAGCCTACCTGATACAAATGAACAAAACTTACATATATATGGTTTTTTTGTCCATGGTTTTTTTTTTTTTTTTTTTTTTTTTT